GATGGATGGCCGGGTGGATGGACAGACGGACAGATGCAGGGACACCCCACGGGGTGCAGCGCCCTGGGTCCCCGTCTCCATCACCTATCTGCCTTTCCCCCTGGCTCACCCTCAGGGGACCCCCGACAATTCGGGGAGGGGGGTGACGCTTCATCAAAGCCGCTTTCCCTCTGCACCGGGCGGCTGTCGGGTCCAAAATCCCGCCCGATCCCGGCTGCTTTAACCCCCCTGGCCCCAAATCCATGCTCAAGCCTCTGCCGAGCCCAGGCTCCAATTTTGCTCAAGGGAGAGATGCTCTCCCACCCATTTTGCGTATTTTCTTCCCCCAAATGCTCCTTTTTTGATTGCTTCATGTAAGAGCCAGAGAGTTTATCAGCCTCATTTCCACCCCCTCAGCTTATGACTTACGAGGGGACCTTTGCATGGGGGAAAGTCCTTGCCTTCCTCCTGCCAAATCTGCAGGTGTTTGGAGAAAATTTTCCATTTCTGTGAGTCTCTGAGGCTTCAGACTTTTTTTTTTTCCTTATCCTTTTTTCACTCAAAATGAATGTTCCGGCCCCAAGCGATGCTGTTGGGGGTGGGAATGGGTTGGGGGAGATGCTCTGCCCTGGAAACGCTCCTGGATGGCCCAAAGCCACTTACGGAGGCGATTCCCCACCCTCGCCCCCATTGCAGGTGTATTCAGCACGACCCTTTCCCCTCTAAATTTGCCCCATTTTGGTGTCCTTGTTTGCCCTCAGTGCGGGCAAAGGATGCTCGGTGCTGGGTTTCCTCCAATGTGGGAAGATACAGGGGGGGATAGGTGCCCAGCGGTTCTTTATTCCTGTGGGATGGGATTGTGCTGGCCCTGCTTGGGCTGCTGAGGTGCTGTGAGACCTCCTTCACCCCCCCGGGGGTCACTCCTGCCCCTGCCTGGGGTAAATCCCGTGTCCCTCCCCAGGGGGGGGGGGGTCCTGCTTCCCGCTTCCAGTCCAAGGGGATGCTCCTCCCGGCTACAGCCGAAATGATCCCTGATACTCCGGTCAGGGGAGACCTGGCTCCGTTTTTCCCACCGCTGAGCCTGGGAGGCTGGGCAGGGGCAGGCTGTGCCCTGCCGCGGGGGAAGATGCTCAGTCGCCTTCCCGGCAGCGTCCCAGGCCGAGCGGGGTGGCAGGGGACAGCGGGAGAGGTGACGCCGGCAGAGGTGCCAGCGCTGCATCAGGTGAAAGCGTTGAACGGCATCGCCGCAATAACGAGGATCACTGCTGTTATTAACCTCGCTTACGGAGGGCCGCAGATCCTCGGGACAAGGGGCTGCCTCTGAGCTATGTGTTAGCAGCGTCGTTCAGTGCAAGGAGGCTCCGGAGCCAGCGCCCCGGGGCTCTTCGCTCTCTGCAATTGCAGCTCTGACAGGAGCGGGGGGTGCCGCCCGTCTTCTGCAACACGCCGCTTTGATCTCTCTCGGGACCCGCCTTGTTATTTCTGCTTTTATGATTCCCAGCTCACATCCCAGCCCTGCAATTTGCCTGGTTAGTAATTGCCCGCTGAGCAGCTGGGAGTCTCCTGCTCCTTTGCTATTTGACCAAGCGGTGTTTTCTTGGTTGAACGTGGTCCCAGTGCAGCTCTGGGGTGAAAACGGGTGCATTTGGGCTCTCTGGTTTCGCCCTGCTTTCCTCCAGGCACTGCGGGTTGGATGCTTTCAGCTCGTATTAGGGGTCCCTTCTCCCGTGGGGGCAGAGGGGATACCCGTGGGTATGGACATCCTGGGTATCCAGCTCTGGGGTTTATGCACGGGGTGGTCCAGAGCCTTTTTTAACCCCCCAACGAGGACACACACCCTCTTCCCACCCCTCTGTGCTGGGAGAGGAGCCAGCCCGTGGGTGCAGCCGCTGATGCACCACCAAAGAGCTCTGCTGGCCTACCCTGCCTGCCCTGGTTTAATTTCTCTCTCGTTTTCTTCTGCTTTGCATGTGAGACCTGGCCCGTGGGGACAACAAGCAGCGAGACCAGAGAGCCCAGCAGCAGCCTTCAGCGAGGGGCTGCGCTCGCTGCCGTGGGCTTTGCTGCCCGTCGGGATTTTGGGGAGCTTCCCTGGCTCTGAAATATGCCCAGTATAAACTGGTGTCGTGGCCGAGGGACTGTGCTGCTTCCAGCACCATCGTCCTGATGATCCTAATGAGAGATGCTGAGCACCATCAGCTCCTGGTAGGATAAATCCCAGTTTCTGACCGGGCACGGAGCACGCCTGCTCCTCCACTGAGCCTGGAGACCCTCGTGTCCCCGCACAGGCATCTGCCAGCAGATGAGGGGCGACCCACGGCAGATCAACCAGCTGCCCCAGTGCCAGGAGGGACTGAGCTTGTGGGTCCCTGCCCCACAGCTGCCACCCCACCACGCCGGGGACCTGCCCCCCATGCTCAGGCTGCGCCTCTGGGGATCTGCGTGTGCCCAACTCTCCTGCCGTGGCCTCGTGGAGCCCCGAGGAAGTCTCGGAAGCTCATTAAAGAAACGCAGCCGTGGAGCTGCAAAACCTCCGGGGATCAGGTTTCACCTCTGGGCTAGGGTTAGGATGCAAAGAAGTTGGTTATTTATATCTGTCCATGGGAAGAGCCTATTTTCTCTTCCCAGCACCTCATTCAAGCCTGGCCTAGCAGAGCTCGTAGGCGTGTGTGCAAGTCTGGGGGTTTGCCCGCTGTCCCTGGGGAGAGGAGAGACCCCCTGGGAGGTGGCCGTGTGTGCGGGCATTGCTTCAGGGCAATGGGAACCAACGGCTGCCGAGCGCTTGGGCCTGTTCGGTGGGCTGCCCAGGTCCTTAGTGATGACGGAGCTTTAAATCCAGCAGCAACCCGATAGTGAGATTTTATCTGGATTTCAGAGCTACGAGCTGGTCTTTGAGACGAGGACTCACGCCTCCTGCATTTGGAAAGGTCTAATCTCTGCTGCGCTCTACGTCAGCTGTGCTACGGTCACGGTTCTTGCAAGGAGAGAGGAGTTGCTGGAATTTGACCTCTCCTCCGAGCCCGCCGTGCGGGAGGGAAGAGGGGAAGAGCCGGCAATTAAAGCGGAGCTGGGTTGTCCCACGGGCTCTGGCTCCACGCCCCACCCCGTGGCTTTGGTCGCCTTGGCGGTGCGCTTCCCACCCGGGGGTGTTCACCCCAAGACTTTGCCGTGGCTGCTGGCTCCCTCCGCCCTGGAGCCGGGTGGGTGGTGGTGGCCAACGCGGGGTCCCCAGCAAACACCCCTGTCGCCGGTGCTCCGCTCCCGGTGCCTTAACCAGCCTGGCGAGTGCAGGAGCATCCGAGACGCTCAGCCTTGGGGTGCAGGAAGGGTTTGGGAGGGAGCCCCAGCATCCCAGTGAGCTTCTCCCACCCCGCCGCGGTGGGGCAGGACTTGGTGGGCGTAGCAGGGCGCTTGGCTTCTTGGGCAAGAGCCAGGAGCCGTGCCAGGAGCCGGTGGCGGAGCCACCCTGGGAACTCCCGGCAGCTACGCTCGCCGCCGGGGCTCCAACAGGTTCATTCGGTTTCTCGGCAGATCTGCCGGTTGCGTAAGGTCGGGGAGGTGCAGCCGCCGCCTCCTTTCCCCCCCCCCGGCCGGCCGGAGCTGGGTTCGGGGTGCTCCTCTCCTCGCCTCGACCGGGTCCCCACTGCGAGCGGGAAAACCGGGGCTCCCAGAGCCTGGGGGTGGGAGAGGGTTTCCGGGTGGGACCCAGACGTGCGGGGCGCTTGTTGCCAAAGGGGGAGCGTGAGTTTCCCCCGTTCCCTGCAATGCAAATACCCTCGGGCTGAAAATCCTGCAGGTCCATGAATGCCTCAGGAGGTTCGGGAGGAAAAGCCCTCCCTTCCTGCAGAGATGCATCCGGGGCCCAGATTTGCATGTTTGCAGAAAAAAAAACCTAGGGGTGAATAGGCTCAGAGCTGAAACTGGTTCCCCAAACCTCTCCCACGAGTGTCTCCAATAAAAGAGATAATTACAGAGCTGGCTTTTATTGTCACGGCTTCAGCTGCAGCTTGTGGTTTGGGGAGAAGTTTTACAGCTTTCTATTTTTTTTTTAAACAGTGGGATAAATGGGGATCCTCAGTTGGAAGACATCTTCAGACACCTTTGCTCATTAAAATATAAATTAAAAGCGGTTAAGCAATTAAGTTGTATTTTCTTCAAACAATGTGAGCTCTCTAATGGGTTAGCGTGGGAGGGGCTTTGCCGAGTGCCACGTGCTGTGGAGGGGGGCTCGTGGCTGGAGACCCTGCGAGGATCACCAGGAAATATCCCGGGAGGGATGGGGACGGGCGCGGGGCAGAGCTCCTCGGGCCTGTTGGGGTGTGGTGAAAGCTGTGCAACACGGCGATGTCACAAATCTTTGGTCTCCGCAAACCCCTCCGTGTCCCTTCAGGCTCAATACACCAGTCAGAGTGATCTAAAATGACGTTAAAACCTTCTTAAAAATGGTTCTAAGTCTTCTTTATTGACATAGAGCTGATTTTATAACCCTGCCAAGGACTAATGCTTTCTGGTTGTGAAAGAGCTTTGGACAACCCAAGTCAAATCTTCTTTGAGCAGGAGGTTGAACTGGAGTGCATCTGAGGGTGTGATTGGGAAACCACGTTTTTGTTGGAATTCAGTGAACCAACCACCTGCCATCAGGCTCAAAATGAGTGATTTAGCTAAAACAAGGGTCTCCCTCGAGGGTGTAATATGTTAAAGGCATTTGCAGTGCTTTGTCATTGCCGTAAGAGGCTCAGAAAGGCCCGTGATGAATTGACAGCTGCAGCTAAGGGAGTTGGAGTTGGAGTTGTGCTTCCAACACCAACAATAGCTTTGTTTTTCTTAGCTCTCGAGGGAGTGTTGTGAGGCAGGTCATGGTGGTGGCAAAGGTAGGAGGGCATCCTTCCAAGCCCTAAAACAATGAATAGAATAATAAAAAAAAAAAAAAAAAATACATCTCCACTCTCTTGAGACCTGGCCAACTCCCTGAGCACATAAAAAGGGGCACTCAGCCACCGCACTCGCAGGACTCACCTCCTCTTGCCTCTTGTGCACCGCGCCGTTCAGCTCTTCTCTCCTCACGGGTTTGCTGCTGGGGACCTGTCACCATGGCTCGCCAGTCCTGCGGTCTCGGCAAGGGTTTCAGCTCCAGCTCAGCTTGCTTTGGAGGGAGGAGCAAGGTCACGTTCAGCTCTGTGTCCCGTGGAGGGGGCGGGGGACCTGGCACCGCGGGGGGCTTCAGCAGCAGGAGCCTCTATTGCTTGGGAGGGAGCAAAAGGACCTCCCTGGGAGGATTTGGCGGAGGGGGTGGTGTCTGCAGAGGTTTCGGGGTTGGTGGCCAAGGAGGCTTTGGCTACGGCTATGGTGCTGGGGCAGGATTTGGTGGTGGCTGTGGCGGCGGGGCAGGCAGCAGCTTCGGTGGAGGTTTTGGCGGTTTTGGTGGCTTTGGTGGAGGATTTGATAGTGGGGTGGGAGGTCAAGGCTTTCCCCCTTGCCCGCCGGGCGGCATCAGGGAAGTGACCGTCAACCAGAGCCTGCTGTCCCCCCTCAACCTGGAAATCGACCCGGAGATCCAGAAGGTGCGAACGCAAGAGCGGGAGGAGATGAAGAAGCTCAACAACAAATTTGCTTCCTTCATTGACAAGGTGAGAGTGGCTTCAACCCGGGGCTGGGAGGTGGAGGTCTGAGCTCACCACGGCTCGTTCGGGCTGCAATTGCTGGGAGTTGCCCATCCTGAGCACCAGACGTTGCCCAGTCCACCCCAAAGAACCCCCGCAGACGGGGAGATGGTGGCTGGGGAAGTGACTTTCCCAAGGTCATGGAGAAACCCAGGAATAGGATCCTGGATACTTAAGACCGTGATGCTGGTGCTAGGCTGCGGGACCTACACGCAGAGCATCCTCAGAGGAGTCTCTGCTGATGGACTCTGTCCATCCGTTGGCTGAAGGACTTTGGGTGCTTTGGCCTATTTTTTAAGGAGAAGATGCCAAAACTACGAAGTTCTCAGTATTTCTCCTGTGTAGAGACTGTGAGATTGCAGAGGGAAGGTGACCCACCTTCTCCCACTCATCCTAGAGCTGTGGTCCCACCTGTCCAGTGGGACCCTGGAGTTATTGCTCACTGGAGATGAGAGCAGGCAGGAAGCTTAAACTCATTAAATGCGAAAAAAATTATGGAAAACATGGGGGGAAAAAAAAAATCAATAAAAAGATGCTTTTGGGAATAGTCTGACTCTTTCTCTACCCACCCCTACAATTATTTAGGTCCGGTTCCTAGAGCAGCAGAACCGAGTCCTGGAGACCAAGTGGAAACTCCTGCAGGAACAGGGCGGCGTGGGGCCGGGTGGCAGGAACCTCGACCCCTTTTTTGAAACCTACATCAGCGGGCTGAGGAAGCAGCTGGACGGCCTCTCAAGTGAGAAGCATCAGCTGGAGTCAGAGCTGAAGAGCTTCCAAGATATGGTGGAAGACTTCAAGACAAAGTATGTTGTTCTCGGTGTAATCATGGTTGGGCTGTCTGGTGGTGAAAAAATAGAGAAAAAAACTTACTTTGAAAAGTCAGAAAATGGAAAGAATCATAAGAATTAGCAATATTTCACTTGCTTCAATGATTAGAAAATGTAAAAGGTTTTGGGGAGGTTTTCATCAACTGAGTTTTGACAATAGGGAGTGATTTTTCAAGGTATTTCTCAATACGTACTGTTGTCTGAATTATGCTTCTCAGTGAAGCAGGATTCTCTACTGTTTGTTTTCCTCACTTAAGAATCCATGACATTATGATTTAATGAGATAATTAGATCACTTGCTAAATCCTACTATAATTTCCTCATGGATTTCCTCATGGATACCTTCCCATAATATCCTTCATGATTTGAAGCTTAAAGCTTTATTTGGGAGGATGATGTGAGGTTAAAAAAAAGAAAAAAAAAGATATTATTTTCCTGCTATTATTTATTAGATGAATTTGTCCAGTTGGAAAAGCAAGAAAAAAGCCTGGAGAAATGCTTCCATTTGAAGGGGTTACAAAAAATGGTGGGAAAGCAAGTCTGGGACTCATCACGATCAGTCAGATCCCTCGCTTTACTGAGGTTGCAGGCTGAAAACTGACTTTGTTTTGGAGATCATCTCTACCACTCAGTGCTCTGCAGCAAGTACCTGCCCCAGTAGGCAGTTGGAAATGGCCCGTGTTGAGGACCTGAAGGTCCTTGGGTCTTGCAGAAGGAGGTGGAGTGGCCACAGCCGCCAGGACTCGGTTTAGGCAGAGAGGATTCCTCTTTGCTGGCTTTCCTCAGCAAAGCATTGGCGGTGGCAGGAGCCAGGGCTCGTCTAGAAAGGCAAAGCGCTGTTGCTTGTCTATAAATCTCGCTCATGGCAGATTTATTTTTGCTGTATTCATCAGTCTGAGGCCAGCGTTGGTCTCGCTGCCAGAGCCAAAATAAGCAGAGAGATTCAATCTCCCTCGTTATAATCAACAGGTACGAAGAGGAAATAAACAAAAGGACAGCTGCGGAGAATGATTTTGTGCTCCTAAAAAAGGTAGAGTCTTTTTTTTTTTTAGTTTTAACACAAAGACATATCTTGGTTCAGATGCTTCTTGCTTCCATCAGCACTGGTTCGTTAGCATCAGACTTAAACCAGGACCCCTCGATGTATGTGGCACAGGGAAAAGGAGCACCAGTTAGGTGTTAGATAAAATGCTCCGTGTCAGGCAGAAGGTTTTCACTTCCCATTTCTGCTGCAGGACGTGGATGCAGCCTATATGACCAAGGTGGACCTTCAGGCGAAATTAGATTCTCTGGCAGATGAGATTAACTTCTTGAAGTATCTTTTCGAAGTGGTAAGTGGTCCAGCTGCTCTCTGGAGAGGGATGCTGGGGTGGAGAAGGGCTGTGACACTATGAAAATTATGGCAGGGCTAAAGCTGGATCTGGTGTGAATTACAGGAACTGTCTGAGATGCAGAAGACCGTTTCTGACACCTCTGTGGTTCTCTCCATGGACAATAACCGAAGACTGGACCTGGACAGCATCATTGAAGAGGTCAAAGCCCAATATGAGGAGATTGCCAACAGGAGCCGGGTGGAGTCTGAGTCTTGGTACCGATGCAAGGTGAGTGTGTCACACGTCGCTTGTGATCACCAGTGTCTGAGGTGGTGGAGGAGTTAGTGGTGATAGCTCAGACCACGCTGAGACCCAGGATATTGCTGGAACTGATCTAGCCAGGCTGGAGCTAGCGGGCACTTGCTCACTTTGGCTTGTGCAGGGTGGTGTGGAGAGGCGGTGTGAGCGGCCACGCACGGTGGATCTGATCTGCTCCCCTCACTTCTGCCCATCAGTATGAAGAGCTGCAGGCCACCGCAGGCAAACACGGAGACAGCCTTAAGGACACAAAGACCGAGATCTCTGAGCTCAACCGCATGATCCAGAGGGTACGGGCTGAGATTGAGAGCGTGAAGAAACAGGTAAGGATTGCATTTTTTGAGAAATGGGTGTGAGCTCTTGGTAACGCCCTTCAGAGCTTCCCTAAAAGCAAATAGTCTGGTAACAGTCACTGTAAGCGGAAGGGAACCTGCTGTGTTTGTGAATAGCCGAGCCCAGGTGATCTGGGATCGTGGCTTCATCTCCAACCGGTGGCCCCTGCCCCACTCATCACACCCATGTCTTGCCCTCCAGTGTGAAACTCTGCAGAGCTCTATCGCGGATGCTGAGGAGCGCGGGGAGCTGGCCCTCAAGGATGCCAGGGGCAAACTGGCCGAGCTGGAGGCAGCCCTGCAGAAAGCCAAGGCTGACCTGGCCCGGCAGCTCCGCGAGTACCAGGAGCTCATGAACGTCAAGCTGGCCCTGGACATCGAGATCGCGACCTACAGGAAGCTGCTGGAGGGCGAGGAGTGCAGGTGGGGATACTGCAAAAGCTTGGTTGCATCTTCCTAAATCAACAGGAAGAATGTGGCCCATCGCATCTCCTCTGTTAAAATACTAACGGCGGTCTTGTTAGCCACGGGCTACGGTCCTGTAGCTGCTGTCGTTTACGCCCATGGTCTGATGGACCAAGCCTGGCTTCATGGAGCTGGACCAATCCAGATGCTCTGGCTGGAGCTGATGGTTTATCTCTTTTCCCTGTAGGATGTCTGGAGAGTGTCAGAGCACCGTGAGCATCTGTAAGTAGCGTCCCCACGGGAGCATGGCCGGCTGGGATGGATGCTCCAAAACTTTATGGTGGCATCAGAGGTAACCTCCTGCCTTCTGTTCCTCTCTGCAGCCGTGGTGGGAGGAGGCAGCAGCTCTGCGGGAGGTGGATACGCCAGTGGACTGTGCCTTGGAGGAGGACTCGGACTCGGATTCGGTGCTGGAAGTGGGAAAGGCAGCTGTAACACAGGCGGTGCTGGTTTCTGCTACAGCCTAGGAGGGGGAGGATTTGGGGCGGGGGGTGGGTTCGGCTCTGGAGGGGCAGGATTGTGCTCTGTGGGTGGAGGGTCTAACTCAGTGGTGGTGGGGTCCGGTACCATCCTGAAGAAGAACACCAAGTCTATGTCTGCCAACTGGAAGGTCTAGGAGAGTGAGCTATCTCCCCCATCCCCAGCACCCAAAGGAGAAAGGAAGCAAATTTCATGATGACCACCCCCACCCCCCCCCCCCCCCCCCCCCCCCCACTGCCAAGGTGGTGGCCATCTATTTCATTTTAAATTACCACCATCCTTCAGCAACTGCATGGAAAGGTAAAATACAGCTATATTCACCAGATAATGACTGAGATTTTCAGCAGTGTTTGAGAACAGCTCGCTTCCCCAGCGCTCCCCTCGAGATGCTGCAAAGCTGCTGGTTATCAGGGTGCTGAGCTCTCATTTGGGAGCAGGACCTGCCCCTTCGCTGGAAAGCCCCAGACGTGGCTGGGATAAGGCTAAAAACCAGCGCTGTCCAAGCGAGAGGCGTCCTATCAGGGATGGGTAGAGAGGACTGGACCCTGTGCTGCTCAGAGGACTGGTGTCCTGTAAAGCCTGCAGAAAGGCTCGACTTCTTTCAAGATCTTGTGCTGGATCCAGATGTGGTGCAATTTTAATCAGTGCTACTCATCAGCCAGGGCTCGAACTCCAAAACAAGAATTTCCTAATGGTGACTAGTCCCAGCTGAAGACATTTCTTACCCTGCTGCAATTTGCATTTTTTTTTTTTTCCCTAAGCAAGATGCTGGCAGTTTCACCCATGTTCTTTAGAAGTTGTTGTAAAATGTTTAGTTTTGTTCAGGACTTACCGTTTCACTGGGATCATGGGAACAATTGTGCTTGTTTGCTTAAACCTTTCTCCTTTGGCATGTGGCATACCCCAATAAACACTAGAGGCAGTGAGCTTGTGTGATTTTCTCTCTGACCAAGGAGTTTCGTGTTGCAACAAGACTCCTCTTTTGCTGAGATCTGAAAGTGTTACCTGACTTTCTCTTGCCCTTTGAAGTTTGCATTTAAAGGAACTAAAGTGAACGTGTAGCCTCATATCCCGTCCTTCTCACCCACCTCTTCACAAAAATTTGGATAGTTTGTAAGTTTGGCAGGAGGACGAAGGAGGTCTTGCAGGGGTGAGGTGGTTGGGGTGGCAAAATTGCTGGGTCAGGCTCCGTGTGATGGTCTGATGCAGCTGAGTCTGTGAAACACACGGGGTTTGCTTGGATGACATCCGTGGGAATGAGCCCATTCCTGGCAGTGTGGCAGGAGAGAAAGAGTCAGCTGGGTTGAACCTGGATTCTCTCCTCCTCTGTCTTCTGCTGGGTCTCCTGGGGGTGACAGGAGTTGGCCCTGTTAGAGCAGAGCAGACTTTTGGACTCGGTTGAAGTTAGGAGACCGTCCCCTTCTCCTTTCTCTTCCTAAGCCCTTTCCTTGCTTGTGTTGGCCAACTTGGGATATTCCCTAGCCAGTCCACCTCTGGCTGACCACTGCCCCCAAGCACACCACTGGTTTCCACCCATGCTTCCCTGTCCTCCCAGGTGGTCCCAGTGCTGTGGTCCCCACAGCAGGTGCTGGCTTGGCAAAGACATTGCGCAGCCCTAAGTGCTTTTGGAGCATCCTATGAGGGACGATGTGGGAGAAGGAAGGGTGATCGTCACCCCTCCAGCTAATTTAGAGATAATTCCTCTGTATCCATGAAGCTCGAGCCGTCCCTGTAGCTTCTACTTTGCCTGGGCTGGCCAGGGATCCACTGGTTGCGTTTAAGGCATATTCAAAAGGTAACTGACACCATGGGAAGAGCAAGATCCCAACCCCCCGTCAAGCCCTACCTCTCCACAAAAGTAGAATATTTTTGATGACTTGTAAATTTAGAGCCCCAAACTCCTGGTGTGGTTTGACCTCTTGCTCAGGAGACCTTGAGTCACATCCCTGGTCAACCGCAGACTCGCTTTGCGATCCGGATGAGTCACTTCATTTATCCCATGCTCTGTTCCCTGTTTGTAAATGCTCGAGACACAAACCTACCAGCGACTGTGGAATGTCACAATGCTGCCAGCAAAGGCGTGTAACTACTTGGATGGAGGGGTGGTTGGGGCAATGGTTAAATAGCCTAGTGAGTTGTAAAAGGACCTGAGATGGCGTTGAATGAAAAGACATCTACTTCCCGCAGAGTCACCCCAATCCAGCTGCCTCTGTGTAAACTTGCCTCCAGCAAATGACTCCTGACATCGGGGCAGCATGATGAAGAGACAAAAGGCTTCTAGATGTGTACAAATGCTGTAGTTAAAACAAACAGACACCAAAAAGCACTTGCTTTTTGTTCCTATGAGCGCACCAGCAATTAGGGGAAAATGCTCCTGGGCTGGACCGAGATGGGACATAAGTTCTGCCTTTTGTTGAAGGAGCGAAGAAAACATTTTACACGTCCTGAAATAAGTTTCATTTAATTTCATGATGATTTCCCCCTGTTTTAAAAGTCTCTTTTAAAGCACAGTGAAAACACTTAGAAGTCAGGTGTTTTATGGAAAGTGTGGGAATGAAATGCTTTGCTTTGCTTTTTTTCCTCAAAATTTTCCCTTTCTGTGGTTGAAGACTTCTAAGTTTGGTGCACGTTGACTGACAGTGCTGCTGCTGAAATGAGGCTTTACCTCCAAGTGTTCAAGGCTTGAGCAGCTTTTTCTGTATTCCTGTTCATTTATTTCCGTAGAATCATAGAATAGTTTTGGTTGGAAGGGACCTATAAAGGCAATTTTCCTTCATCAGGGCTTTGGGTACAATGATGTTGTTTGAGATCCCCGCAGCCTAAAGCTGCCTATTGCGTTTGATCTGGGTGATGATATTGATAGTCAAATCCTGGTTTGATTTCCTAAACTTGGCTGGAGACGTGGCCGTGACTCAATGAACACGTTATCTGAACACGGGTGCTCAGGGCTTGAGCGTTGTGCTGACTTAACGCATCTCCTCCCAGCGCGGCTGGGAACGCGAAAAGTTTCTGATCACGTCGTTCCACCCACAGAAAAAAAAAAAAAAAAAAACCAAAAAAACCCCAAAAAACACCCAGAAAAATGTGACCACATATTTGGTAATGCAGAGGGAGGCAAGGGGAGGCATTGTTAGATGCGTGTGCATCTGCGCTTGTGCATATACGTGATCGTATCATCTACAGCAGCTGTAAAGCCACGGCACCCTCCTGAACCCTGTGGTGTGGCAGGCGGCGGTGGAATGCGTTTGACTGATAAATCAGAAGTGGAGCCTGGGTCTGTGAAGGCAGCGTTGCCACGTCTTGCCGGTGATTTGCCTCTCCTCTAGACGGGAAGGGCTGTTGAGAGATGGCTCCTGCCTTTGCCCCGAGAGGGGATCAGATGTTTGTCAAGTCGTTTGGCTCACGGTTGCAGTGATGTTTGAGGCTGTGCTTCAGAACCTCCCAGGCTGGGCAGGTGTTTGTCCCAACTGTGGCATTTAGGAGACAAAGTCTTGCTGAAAACCAGCTAACCCTTCGGGACCTCCTCAGCCCACATATTTATTGTCTATAAACCACTCTGCACAGCCACCAAAACCCCCACCCTCCCCATCCCTTCGGTTGCACAGTGACTTGTTATTATATTTTTTTTTTTCCAGCCCTATCTATCCTCTGATCCACTTCCCCGCATGCTCATGAATCCACGCTGGTGCTGGGGAGGGAGGTGGGATGAGAAGGCTGTGCAGGGCAGTCGGGTTTTTCACTGGAAATGCCAGTTTAGCTGCACATTACGGCACGGTCTGGGTCCCTGGGCACTTTGAAAATAGGTGTCTGGGTGATATTTTTAGAGGTATTTAAACATCTGAAGATACCAAGAGTTGCTAGTGTGGCTTTTCAAGAAGCACTTAATTGCCTGTGTCCTGTGGGAACTTCTGAGAACCTTGCTAGACAGCTACCAGCACAGTTAGATGCCTCAGTAATCATAGAGAGTTTTGAACGTCAACATTTCTTATGTGTCTTTAAAAAGATGAAAACTAATAAAAAAGGGAATTTCTCAATAAAAAAAATTAGAAATGAGACAGTAATTGTTATTTGATAAGTAGGCTTCTGCATGACAAAAGGATGAATGCATGATGGATCATAGTCTTATTATTGCAAGTCTAACTCATAAGCGAATCCTTTCTCAGTATGAAATGAAACCCATAGTAGTCTGATAAGCTTCTGCCTTTCTAAAACCTGGTGACTGCCTTCAAATAAGCTTAAAAAGAATACCTACCCGTGTTCCTGAAGGAGGGCTCAGCACGGCTTACAAGTGCATACGTCTGCCAAAAATGTATTTGCATATAAATACTGAAGTAAGCCAGGCAGCTGAAAAACATACCTTTCCTCAAGTGAAAGTTATTGTGCCCTCTGTTCTCCTCATTTCTGTGTGTCTCTACAAACGAGTTGAGCTCTCCAGCATCCTCTGCCTAGCTAATTGCATTTAAATAGTTACAGGACTTATTATGTGGGCAGCATGATTTTGCATGCCTCCTTCTCTCTGTCTATTCCCAGAGCCGTCTGTCCGTCTGTCCACACTTCCCACCGTAGCAGCTGGGTTCCTGATGTCTTCTCTGGCTCTTTGTGTGGTCTTGAAGCCTTCAGAAAATTCTGAAGGGATTTCCCATCTATGACATTGGCGGCATTTCTGCACTGGTGCTGAGACTATCTTGTCATGAAGACTCCAGGACTCACTTTCAGTAAGAGCTTGATCCAACCATAAATGAATTTCCAGTGCCAGCCATTGCTCTGGTATCTCATTTCTGGTAAGGTTTTATTTATCGAAAAGACGCAGAGCCTCATCAAAATGCAATTTGCTGAGCTCTGGCTCTAGATTGAGAAACTACTTCTCAAAGCCAAAGGCGATTTTCCATGTAAAAAGAAGACTAAGGGTGTAACATAGGTGTGTTTTGGGAATTGTGAAAGCCATGCTACAACTTGGCATGAGCTACGGTGCTTGCCTGCCATGGGGCTTTGGAGTGAAAGATCATAATAAAGATAAACTTAAGCAGGGAAACAACCACAATGGATGAAAGGTGGAAAAAAAAAAGACTGGTATAACCTAGGGAGACTGTTTCTATACCACAAAAGCGTAAAACTTCTTAGTCATTGAGTGCTACCATTTGGTAGACACAGTTGTGTATTTTTTAATTTTCTCCTGCATTATAGGGTGTGTTTCTGGGTAGGGTCAATGTTTGGCAAATTGAAGATGAAAATCTGTAAACCACGCCATGCTGATGAAGACAGTAACTGTCTCCTCCTTCACGCCCATGCAAACCCAGCCCACCTCCAGAAACAGATAAAAGAGAGCATCTACTGCCCTCCAGTCAGAGGGACTTACTTCCCTTCCCTTTGCACTCATCTCCTTGCAGCACTGCTCCATTGATCTTACTTATCTTCTTGATTTTTGACTCTGCTTGGAAGAAACAGCCATGTCTCGGCAGTCTGTCTGCAGAAGCTTTGGAGGCGGGAGTAGA